GAGGCCCACCACAAAAACAAAACAGTACTATTTCAGAACACCCCCCGAACATCTTTGGAACAACTTCCAAACTCTGCTGGAGTTTTCTGAACTGTCCAAAATGTTTTCCTGGGGGGGAAACCTTTGAGCGAAAAACCAATTAGGTTGTTTTTCCTAGTGTTTCTTTTGTTGTTCTGCGGTTTTCCCAAGGGGGACCCCCCCGAAACACCCCCCAACTCGAGGCTTGTTCGGTGGTCTGTCTATGGTTTTCCCAGGGGGCGGGGGAACCCCGGAGAACCCTCCCCGTCATCCGCCACCGTGCCTCCTGGCACGGTGAGGCGTGGAACAATATCGAAGGCAAGCTGCGAAACAATGAAGGAACATGGAGCCCCTCCCCAACGAAAAGGGTTCCTTCTTCAGGGCCCCGACTGTAAGGGAGCCCCCTCCTCTCGACGCAGATTGATGCATGCATCGCCCCTTCTCTCGGAGGCCACTTCTCCCGTGCCCGCTCGAGGATGGCGCACTCCCCGGACGAGGGCTAACGCCCAATGCCTCCTTCCACGCGGGCCCACTCGAGGATGGTGCACGTCCAGCATGGCAGCTCATGCCGAACCCCCCATTCCACGCGTGCTCTCTCAAGGATGGTGCACTCCCAGCATGGCAGCTCCTCATGCCTGAACGCCCATTCCACGCGTGCCCGCTCGACAATTGTGCACCTCCCGCATGGCAGCGAATGCCTGAACACACATTTCGTGCGCGCCCGCTCGAGGATGATGCACTTCCCTCATGGCTGCTGACTCTGAGGCCCCTCATCCCACGTGCACCCGATCGAGGATCATGCACTTATCACACTCCCAGGCGCTGCACCCAAGCGTTCCAGTGTCCCCCCCCAGCAACGATCCCTCTTTAACAACAATGGATACGCATCCCGAGCTTGCAAGACAGACCGTATAGCCAAACAAGGACACCAAGATGGCCCAAGATGCCTCGAAGACGGCCCAAGATGGCCCCAAGGCGGCAGAACAGTGATCCCAGACTGCCCAAGATGCTTCAAAAAGGTCCCAAAGTGGCCATAAGCGGACTCCATCAGGGTCCGAACAAAAAAACCATCATGATTGATGTTACTATGACGTTGGAATGATTTTAACATTCTCGCCTTTCCGGACTGCGCCAGCTCAAGACGGCCAGTGAGGACTCCACGATGGCCCAAAGGCGTCCGAGACGGCTCCAAGACGGCCCAAGAGGATCTCCCGAGGAACCCAGGACGGCCTTTGAAGGCCATTCGACGGCCCAGGACGGCACCAAGACGGCACCACGACGGCCCCCGGACACCCACCATACGCCCAAGAGGGCCCCAAGACGATCCAAGAGAGGCACAAGTCGGCGTAATTAAGAGATCCCCCAGACGGCCCAAGAGGTGAAGGAGCCCCTAAGACTGCCTCACAGGAGGCCAAGGCAGCACAAAGACGGCCTAAACGAGTTTCACCCGCATCATGATCATCATGCTGATCATGATCATCATGATGGTCATGATCATGATCATGATCATGGTTATTACCCTGATTATGGTCAGCATCGTCATCATCATCCGCATCATAATCGTCATAATCATCATCATCAGCATCAGCATCGTCTTCATAATCATCATCATCGTCGTCATCATCGCATTCAACATCAGCATCAGCATCAGCACTAGCATCAGCATCGTCACCCTCATCATCGGCATCACCATCACCATCACCACCACCATCATCATCACCATCACCATCATCAACATCATCTTCACCACCATCGTCACCCGCAGCATCGCTATCATCATGATCATCATCATTGGAATCAACGGCATCAGCATCGCCGTCGGTACCGTCGTCAGCATCATCACCATCATCACCCACCATCATCATCATCATTACTTCCACCATCATAAGCATCATCGTCATCATCATCATCAGCATCAGTATCGCCATCATCAACGTCGTCAGCATTATCATCATCATCATCATCATCATCATCATCATCATCATCATCATTGGCAGCATTATCATCACCATCACCACACGCAACCAAATCACAATCGCCACCACCATCATACTCATCGTCATCACCATCACCATCATCAGCATTAGCAGCATCACCATCATACGCATCAAATGTCTTCATCATCGTCATCATCGCCATTCGCATAATCACCATCACAATCACCATCACCATCACCATCATCATCATCGCCATCAGCATCACCATTAACATTATCATCAGCATCATCATCACCATCATCAACGTCGTCAGCATTATCATCATCATCATAAGCAGCATCATCATCATCATCATCATCATCATCATCATTGGCAGCATTATCATCACCATCACCACACGCAGTCAACCAAATCACAATCACCACCACCATCATACTCATCGTCATCACCATCATCAACATCAGCATTAGCAGCATCACCATCATACGCATCAACAATCATCATCATCGTCATCATCGTCATTCGCATCATCACCATCACAATCACCATCACCATCACCATCATCATCGCCATCATCATCACCATCATCATCATGACCATCATTATCACCGTCGTCATTATCATAGTCAGCACACTCATCAGCATCACCATCTTCATCATTATAATCAGCATCATCACAAGCAGCAGCAACCGCATCATGATCATCATTGTCATCAACCCCATCATGTTCATAACCATCATCATCATCATCATCATCATCATCATCATCATCATCATCATCATCATCATCATCGGGGCTCTCCCAAGCCTGGAGACACGAGTTGTAACACGTGAAGGCTCCCATGCCGCCTCGAAGAGTCACCTCCCTGAAATCTGGGATGGCACAGTGACAGACTTGCCGCAGGCAGCTGGATAACTGAACCAGCATACAGTTTCGGAGGTCTGCGTCGATGTCTCGGGTCGGCGCTGGACTCCCCCCTCCCTGCCGAACTTCGCACGCTAAGGGGGCGCCGACCGGGGGGTGTCCAGCGACGATAGATCATGACCTGAACCGAACTCGAATCGTTGCAACACCACCGATAGATCTGCAACAGGCCCCCGATAGCGAAACCGCAGGTTCTTGGGCGGGGTGGGCCTTCAGGCCTCTACCAGCGATGAATGGGCGCTCGGGGGTATTTGCGCGCCCCCCAGGAAGCTGTCCCCCCTACGTTGCCCCCCTGAGGAATCCGCGGGGGGCCTCCAAAAGCTCGTACCCAGGGGAACTCTCTGCTCTTCGATCCTGCTCAATCCTCGAATCGGCGGATGGTTAGGCCTCCGGCTGCGTAGAGAAAGCCCGCTGGGTACTCCCAACTGGCCTCAGCAGGCCCATCGAGTAGCCCAAGGCGGTTTCAACACCCCACCCGTGAAGTTGAGACTGCTCCGGACCACTCGAGGGGCTTGTTGAGGCCAGCCGAAGCTGCCTGAGCGACGCGAAGAAACAGGTCTTACGAGAGGTGGCATCGAGACCTTTCGCCACGGCTTGCGCGGGCCGCCTGCGTGGCACGCAACGTTGGAGAAGAGGGCGCTTACGCGGGTTCTTACGCGGGAAGCTGACGAGAGAATGTCAGCGCAATCGAACCTGTTATTTTGCGTCGCTCACCTGCATGGGCTGTCTGCGCGCAGCCCGAATAACCCTATGCCGGTGAGAATCGCACCCTGGGGATAAGAAGGTCCGGGGTTCTGGGCGGACAGTGAACACTTCCTGGATGCATCGGTGTTGGGATGCCTGGACGGGTTGTGAATGACCTCCAAGCTGATCTGGAGAAGCCTTCCCTGGGAGCTTGCTTGAGAAAGTTGGGTGAGCACGAATTCTGAGATAAAATCATGGGGGAATGATGCACTGGCCAATCTTCGGGGGCCTGCCAGAGGTATGGGACGAGTACGAAGCCTGTGAGATACGATGGTTGCTTACCCAGCGTTTTGCTTGAGACATCCTCGAGAAGCTGACGCTCGCGAACTCACGAATACATCGAAAACTTGCGTGTTGCTTGACACATCCTCGCGGGATTGGTAAGAAGGAATACTCATGGTGCCGTGCATGATATGAAGATCAGAGCAACGATGCGAAATTTGGGGGAGATTCTCAAGTTCGCCCCCTCGCGCTCTTGTGGCAATTTGAATCCACATACACCCCGTGGATAATCAGAAAAAGTGGTGAAGGGGGGGGGGTCACCTTTATGGTCCGCGGCATGCGGTTAGAGGCCTCTCTGATGAGGTCGGAGTAGATGGGGTCGGAGGGTCGCACCGCATCGCCGATGCATCGCCGACGCTTCGGCGATCTACCAGCGATGCACTGGCGACGTCGGCGACGCAACAGTCACGTCGCGTGGAGAAAATCGGGCTCCGCATCGAGCCGCATCGGCGAAGCATCGCTGGTACGGCGCGATTCTCCGACTCCACCTGCTCGGACCGCATCTGGGAGGCCTAGACCGAAGCCTTACCTATTAGGAAGCCCGCAGCAGGTACGGAACATTGGCACGATGGCCAATAGCAGCTGCTGTCCAAAATCAACGAAGACCGCTGCTGGGCAAGCAGGTGTCCGCCCGCGGCGGCACCGACGGCGAGCTCTGCCCAAAGGATACAGGAAGGACCTGCTGCCAATCTTCGTCCCCATTCTCTCCGTGCCTATTCCGACCGTGCCGACCCAACGGGGGAGCGGACAGTGGGAAACCAGGAGGTATCGAGCCCGCCTCTCCCCAGACCTCTCCCAGGGTGCGCTCTGATCAGGATCTCGAGGCGAATTCGACGGTGGCGACGGAGGCCTCCCAGGAGGCCCCAAAAGGCGAGAAACGAAGGGAGAGTGGCGGTATCTCACCAGCTTGAATCACATCCCCAGCCCTATGTTTGGCATCACCTTACCTCGGTCACATCTTCAGGCTTCACTCTCTTTCTCAGGGCACGCCCCTTCGATCGTCATCGCTGTGGGCTTGCCCGTCTTAGGGACAGGGACGAGACCGCGGCGGGTTCGTATCGATACTTGTCCCCTCTCTGAGAGGGCGGCGGCGCCCGGCGAGGACGCGCTCGTAGTGGCCGAGGATGGGCCCGGACTCGCCCTGCGACCCTCTCCTGCGGATGGTGGCCTTCAGTTTCGCCGCCTGGGCCTCCAGGAGCCTCGCCTGCGCCCGGGCCTCGCGCGGCCGGCGCGCCCAGACCCCCCGGCGCCCTGCAGCAACAACAAAAAACAAGCAGGACGGCGCTGTTTCGTGGCTCTGGGCGTCGGGGGAGGGCCGTTTTCGGGATCCGCGGCCGTCGCGAAGCAGTCCTGGACCAGAAACAAGACAGCCCGAGGCAGGTCGTCGAGGAGCCCAGACCCCGCACGCAGAAGCAGTCAAGTCGTCGGAAGGATGGGTGGATGTGCTGACCGTGGTTCGCTTTCAGCGTTTCCCACCCTTGCCCGGCATTTGGGAAGCTTCTCGTCGCCACGACTAGCTTCGCCTTCTGGAGGCCGCCCACATGGCGGTAGACAAGTTCTCTCTCCCGCTTAGCTTGCGGCTGATGGAGAAAACACACACGCGCACACAAAGACCTGGACCTCCTGGCATGCGTTCCGACCAGGATTCCGAGGCGGATGCAGCCGTGGCGGCGCGGGGGTCCACGCGGGAGGTCAGACCTGGGACAACGAGGCATCCTTCAAGAACACGAGACACTCCGTCGGCCAGACTGAGGAACATTCGAGGGTATCTTCCCCAGGATGCACAGGAGCATCCAACAGATATGAAGAACATTAGGGTGCGTTCACCGACCCGACCTCGATCTTATACCTCGGTCCGACCGTCGGCCTGCGCGCAAAACTGAAAAACATTCGATGGTACATCTAATAGACACGAAGAACATTAAAGGTACCCTCGCCGAACCGACCTCGATGTTATACCTTGGTCCGACCGTGCTTTAAAATGTCGGCTTGTGCGCCCGCAGAGCACGAGCGCCTGCGGCCTCTCACAAGGCCCCCAGCTCTGGCCGACACCGGCGCGCTCCCAAAAGACGGCGACCACAGCACCACCTGAGCATTGCGGAAGCCCGCCCGTGCTGCGGCCAGCAGCCGACTCCCTGCGCTTCCTGAGTACACCCCTGCTGGAGCTAAGAAACGTTGAGCCAAGTGATTGGACGTCACTCTAAACTTTAAGCGTTGCCTTGAAACCGCAGTCGGGGTCCAGACACACGAGCACTCTACAACAAAAAGCGGCCCAAAGAAAACTACATCTTATAATTTTCGTCGACAGCATCAGCAGCCCGTGAACATCGCTGCTTTGTTTTCGGATGCCTGACGGGCGTACAGAGCCGGAGGGGAAAACCCACCCCGCCGAGGGTCGACCATACGCCTCGCCAACGCACCACGGCGGGGGTCGGAGAGCCTCTGGCGCGCCACCCGGGGGGCAAGGCCAATCATAATCGAATCAGGAAATCGGGTCGAATCGGAATGTGGAGAAGGAGGAGGAAGAGGAGGGAGGAGGAGGAGGAGGAGGCGGAGGAGGAGGAGGAGGGAGGAGGCACGAGGAGGGGGGGGCCCACACGCGCGCCCATGTCGGCAAGGCCAGTCAGAATCGAATCAGGAAGCCGGGTCGAATCGGAATGTGCGCCGGATCGGGCCGTATCGGCACGGAGTCGAGACCGAACCGCATTGGCCGCTCGAAGATGCACGCCAGTGCCGCGTCAGTATCGCGCCTGGCGAAACCGAGATCGCCTTGGATCGATCGGGTCGACATGGCCCGAGGGGCTCCGTCTGGTGCTGTGGCTGGAGCTGGGTCTTCATCTTGAGTCGCCTTTCGACAGCCCGGGGCCCAGCGAGGGCCCCCAAAGGCCGCACGCAGCAAGAACACATTGACGACGAAAAGACCCGGGTCTTGCGCGAGCTGGCGTAGCGGCCATGACGCGGCGGCTTACGCGGGCCGCCAGCGTGGCACAACGCGTGGAAACGAGGGCGCTCGCGCGTGGCCTCAAGGAGGGCAGATCCTTTTCACTACTACGGTGCCGTAGCTGGACAGGACCCTGAGGTTTATCCATTGCCCCCTGGGAGGAGGAGGAGGAGGAGGAGGAGGAGGAGGAGGAGGAGGAGGAGGAGGAGGAGGAGAAGGGAGGAGGAGGAGGAGGAGGAGGAGGAAGAAGGAGGGAAGAGGAGGAGGAGGAGGAGGGAAGAGGAGGAGGATTAGCGCGTGGTGGAGGGGGCGTTCGCCTGGTGACTACTAGCCGCCCGCGGCCAGGGATCCCGCTGTGGGGATGGGCCGTAGGACTCGGCGGAGCTCCACTCGCCGAGCCACTCCCTTATGTCAGGGCTGCCGTGCATGATTTTCAGGGAGGCACCACCCTTTTGGGAAGCTCTCAACCTGATATACTGACTTCTACGATCTGTCTTTTACAAGCTTTGATCGACTGGGCAACACATACTAAGCACAGTGCCACTTAGAAACAAGACGACTGCACGGGCGCACACCGCAATAGTGCACAAGACAAGAAATTCAAAGCAACACAGATGCAGACCACGGCTCATCACAGAGAGCGGGGAAGACTAATCCCACGGGCCTCTCCCACGATTCTTATGCACCAATGGGCAGCGGAATGCAAAGGCCAGGAGCGAGCCCTAATTGCAGCATGGCTTGCCTCAGGCGGCAAGCGGAGAAAAGGTAAAACCATCCAGACTTATGATGGATGTTTTGCATGGCGCGGGCCTTGCCGTACTCGCCGACGCATTCCTTCCACAAGTCCATGTTGTCAGACTTCGTTAGCAGGTAGTCGCCCATCCGGCCGGAGACTGGCATCGCAGGTGTTTTCTTCTCTTCGAAGTCCTTGTACCACCCGTCCTTGACCAACATGAACTTCATGTGTTTCCGAGTTCGGCATAGCAGAACTGCTTGTATCTGTGGGTGGCGCAGTCCTTGCCGTACTTTGCATTGCAGCCCTTCCACCAGCCCATGTTGGCAGCCTTCTTCTGCAGGTTTCGACCTTGTTGATATTGCGATGGCCTGGGGCATCGATGACGACTGTGTAGTGCCACTTCTCGGTGTAGAAGTCTTGGGTGGTGCAGGCGCTGGTCACCCCGCACTCGTGCTCCTCTTTCTGACGGTCCATGTAGAACGTGAAGGCGATGGGGCCTGGTACTAGGCATACGGCCTCCTCCTTGAGCTTCTCCAGCTCGCGTTGCGGAAGGCCGCCCAGGTCGTAGTGAGGCGGGCGGTGGTGGTGCTCTCGCCGATGTCGACATGCCCGCAGATCACGAAGGAGAGGTGCTCCTTCGCAAGAGTGGCAGGCATGGCAGACTGGTGGGGAATGATCCGAAAAACTCTGGGGGCGGAAGCGAACGCGAAATGTTCGAGCCCCAAGCTCCTGGACCTGACCAGGAGTGAAATGCTGTGGTGTCCTCGGCCCCCAGAGGCCGAGGACTTGAGCCAAGGGAAGAGGAGGAGGAGGAGGAGGAGGAGGAGGAGGAGGAGGAGGAGGAGGAAGAGGAGGAGGAGGCAAAAGGGGGGGCCCACCCGCGCACCCATGTCGGCGAGGACGACCCCCGTGATCTTCCACGACGCGGACAACAAAAGTCTTGGCACGGGCCCGGAGGCGGCCTGGGGGTCTGAGCTGGTGGGCCCTCGAGAAGATCGGGCAAGACGTGGGGCTGAGGGCGAATTCGCTCAAATCGGTCCCCGGACCCCTCCCGGGGTCCGTCCAGGCCTCGGAAGGAATTATCGAACACATGCCGCATTCATGTGCCCATGCCCCCCCCAATGATCAATTTTGCTGGTGGGTTGAACGAGCTGCACTTCGACCACAGTCTTCCCCGCGCGTGCCAACTGTGAGTTTGGGGGAACGGGATGTCCACTAATTGTTTCCCTCTATCGTCTGGTGCAATTTTCACCCAAGATCCGGTTTCGACGGTCCCTGGTGCCGGAAACGGGCCCCTGTAGGCCGAAAGCAGCAAAAGGCCTCCTCGAGCCCAGAACCTCGAACCTGCCCGCCGTTCCTGCTGGCCGGAACCAGTGCTGGGCCACCTCAGACCCCCAAACGGCTCCAAGACTTGGGGCTGCCAGCGGCGCTGATCGAGCTTCTACTGAGGCGGGCCAATGCAAAGCCGGGTCAGTCAAGCTTTGAAGGATCCTGCAAGACCCCGCAGGATCCTGCGGGATCCTGCGAGTTAGTAGCCCTGGTCAGTGCAACCCTGGCTCTGCGGGATCCTGCAACATCTGGCGCTCTGGCTGACCCCTGTTTGCATTGACCCCCGTCTCAAGGCTCCCGGGCTGCGCTTCGGCTGCCCCCCCCCCCTCCCGGGGGCGCCTGCAGGAGCGTCAGGGACTGCCCCCCAGCGGCCTGCACGCTGGCCTGCTGCGCGCTCGGCCGCCGCGCCTCCGCCTCCGCTGCGGGGGGCGCCGCGGCGACCGCCTGCACGCCGGCAGGGCGACCGCCTGCACACGGGCACAGCCTCCTCGCGAGCCACAGGCACGCCTTCGTTGCGCAGGCCCAGACCTTCGACGATGTGGGCTCTCGAGGTCCGGGCGCTGCTCCTCGGTGGCAGCCTCTGGGCCCCGTCACTGTGGGCCCAGGGGCCAGCAAACACGCATCGGGGACGAAACACCGTCCCGGGAAGGGGTCGAGACCTCTGGAGTCCGCGGATTGCAAAAAAGAACACATCGTCGGATGTCTGGGGAAGGCACCTATGCACAGCCGCCGTGCCCAGACCCCATCATCACGTCGCGACACCAATCAAGACGAGCAACTGTCTGCTGCGTTCGGCCTCCGCAGGGGCCCTCGCCGGGCCCCGGGACCGCCCGCAGAACCAGTCGGACCGAAGAGCAGGCCCCCGGGGAACGGGCCGAGACCTCTGGGGCTCGACGTTGCGACGCGACGTCCGGAGTCTGGGCGCCATGCCCCCGCCGCCTTGGGCCCCGGCCCGGTGCACGGACGCCCTGGGCCCTGTCCGGATTCTGAGCCCGCCCAGCGGCCTGCACGGCCTGTGCGGCCGCCGCCTGAGCAGCCAAGCGGGCTCGATTTCAACGGGGTGGTGAGAATTGAAGCCCGCTCGGCCGCCGCGCGGGCTCGATCGGTGGCCCGTTCGGCGGCCGAGTGGCCCTGAGATCCGGGCGCCGCATTTGCTTCGCGCTGGGCGTTGCCGCCCGTTTTCGGTACCCGGGGACCTTCGCGGGCGGATCCGGCTCGGAGGATGACGCAGAAAGATGGAATCAAGGGCTCCAGTCGCGGTGTCTCTACAATGCTGCAACTTTTTCTTGACGAAGCATCTGGGGGGCTCAGACGCCGAGGGCCTCAGAAGAGAGCCCTGCAGGCGCGGAGGACAGGAGGGTTGGAGGCGGCTGGGGGAACTGGTTGGGACCCCAGAGCATCTGTCGGAAGGGGGGCTGAAGCCAAATCTGTTCAAAATCGGTCCCTGGACCCCTCCCGAAGTCCATCTGGTGCATGTTTCCATCCAGAACCTCGAGCCTGCCCGCTCTTCCTGCTGGCCCGAACCGGTACTGGGGGCCACCTCAGATCCCCAGACGGCTACAACAGGAGGGCCTGTGCGCCCTCCTGGAGCCCACGATATCTGCGACGAAAAGAATCGGCGGTGGACAAACCTCCCTTCAGTAGACCTCCCCTTAATGAAAACGGCCTGGGACTGAAACCGACGGACCTGGACCCGCAAAAATGACGGCCGCGACGCCCTCTCGCGAACCGAAAACGGCCAATTCCTTAATCGACGTGTCAGGGTAGGAGGTCTGTCCACCCCCAAAAGAAACGGGTCTTACACGGGTTGCCATGGCGACTTACGCCGAGGACTACGTCGGCCGCCGGCGCAGAACGCTGCATCGGAAACGGAGGCGCCTCACTACGCGAGGCCTCACGCGGGCAGCTTGCGTGCGAATGACGGCGCGGTCGGGCAGCTTGCGCGCGAAGTTCGGAGCAGTCGACCTGGCTGGGCACGGCCCGAAGTTTAGATCCATCGCTCATGCGGCCCTGGCTGGGCACGGCGGCTGCGCAGACGGTGCCCTCTGAGCGGAGCCTGCGCCACGGCGTCCCCCAGGCGCAGCTGGAAGCACGGCATCGGTGCCCCCAGTCTGCCAATATTCACCCTGGGTTGATGGGCCGATTTTCCACCACCACTGTAACAGGAGGAGGAGGAGGAGGAGGAGGAGGAGGAGGAGGAGAAGGCTGGAGGAGGAGGAGGAGGGGGAGGGGGAGGAGGACGAGGAGGAGTGAGAGGAGGCGGAGGAGGAGGACCCCCCCTATCGTCCCTTCTTCCAGTCATGCCGATGGTAGTGTTGGTGGATCATCGGCCCATCATGGGTGGGGCGGCGCACGCTGCGGTAGCGCGCGCCGGGACCCTCGGACGCGGAGCGGAGGCGGGCCTCTACGCAAAAGGTGCCCAGGCCACAACGGCTGCCGACGTGATGCGGACCGACCGCTCTCTCTCTCTCTCTCTCTCCTTCTCTCTCCCTCTCTCTGGGACTGACCCTCTCTCTCTCTCTCCTTCTCTCTCTCTCTCCCTCTCCCTCTCTCTCCCTCCCTCCCTCTCTCTGGGACTGCCCACGCTCACGGCAGGCTCACGCCCTGGCGGCCTGCGCGCCGGCTCTCCCGACACCGCTCTGGATCGTTCCATCTGGAGCGACCTTTGGCCCTCCGACAATAGAAGACTCCTGGATGGCTTCCGAGTGCGTTAGGTCGCAGGATCGCGCCGCATCGCCGACACGTCGGCGACGTCGGCGACGCATCGGCGACCCATCGGCGACGTCGGCGTGAAGAAAATCGGGCTCCACATCGAGCCGCATCGCCGATGCATCGGAGATGCGAAGCGATCCTTCGACCCCACCTGCTCGGACCCCATCTGGGAGCCCTGGGCCGGGGCTCTCCGACAGCCTAGGCCGCCCGAAGGCGGCCACTCCCAGGGCCACTGCGGGCGTTCGCGAATCGGGGATCTCCTGACCCGGGTCAATCCAGACCTGAGTCAGTCAGGCCTGCAGGATCCTGCAAGGTCCTGCACCCAAACCCGGGTTAATGCGAACGATCCTGCAGGATGGTGCAGGATCCTGCACCCTGAACCCAGGTCAGTGCGACCCTGGCCCTGCAGCATCCTGCAAGATCGGGCGCTCTGGCTGACCCCCGTTGGCATTGACCCCCGTCTCGAGGCTCCCAAGCGAGCACCTCGAGGGCTCGCTCGGGAGGAGGAGGAGGGGGAGGAGGAGGAGAAGAGGAGGAGGAGTAGGAGGAGGAGGAGGAGGAGGAGGAGAAGGAGGAGGAG